CGTGCTGCAGCTCAGCGGCAGCAGGAACTTGTAAAGCTTGAGCTTGGTGATGACGCAGAGCACCAGTCACTCCTCCTGGAGGTGTTGCATCCTGGGGTTCTTTTCCCAGTGACCGTAGCCTGTGTTCACTCTTCAGTGTATATTGCGTGTTTGTCATGATGCCACTGCTGTCCTTGTCTACAATAGTTCACTTATGTTATCAACATTTAATGAATTTCTATAAAAAATTATCTAATATCATTTCATAATGCAGTGGTGTGAATGAGAAATATTTATCTTAGGAAAGCAGACCCTCAGTTCAGGCATGGCTCTAGTGTAACCATGATTTTCAAGATCTCTTTAATTCACCCTTACTGCCTGCTTTAAAATGTCAGTTTTTAGCCTGTGATTTTATTTCCTTTACCCATTTAACATATCTGAGACGTCTACTCCCCACACCGAAAACAAGATGTTTTTCTTGCACTGAATAAGAGATCCTTAATACTTTCTCACTTACCAAAAAAAAGTGGTTTTTGAAAATAAATTTACAGTTTTGCCTCATACACAGTCGAATTGTGACTCGGCTTTGTGGAAGTTATCCTCCAGTTTTCCTCGTGCTTTTCTCGGGAGCCAGCCCTGAACTCCTTGCCCCAGCCAACTGAACTTCTTTCAGTTCACAGCACGAAATTGCCAACTACGCCGTCACCCCTGTGGCCCTGTATTGAGTCTTCACTGAGTGCTAGACAGCACAGTAATCCGTGCCATTCTCACAGTAACCCTGTGAAGTAGGTCCTATCATCCCCATTTGACAGGGGAGAAAACTAAGTCTTAGAGGGTAAATGACTTGCCCAAAGCCACCAGCTCAGAAGCGCTGTAGGGCCAGACTCTGCCCCCAGCGCCGGCTGTGCAGCCCTCGCTCTTCATCCCTGCGCCGCCGCCTCCCAGTTCCTGGAACACCACATGTTCCTTCTGATGCCCCAGCTCTTGCGTGTGCTCTTCCCCCTGCCCAGAGCGTTCTCCACAGCCCCTTTATTTCTGTGTTTAATTCCTGTTCGTTCTTCTCACCGTGAGCTAAAGGTCACCTCTGCAAGGAGGCCTTCCCTGGGAGCCCCATGCTATGTGGTCCCCTAGCAACATCAAACACCCAGCTCCTCTGGCGTGGAGATGCACCCACGTTCCAGAAGGGTCTAGATCACACGTTCGCAAGGAGCTGGTGAGAGTCCGCGGCTGTTCTCGCGCTCTGTGCCGGGCAGCAGGCATGGCTCCTGTCCTGGGTCTCTCCGCTTCACCCCGAGACAAGTGCATGTGGTAGGAGCCCTCCTCTCCCATTTGCAGGCTTCGTGGTTAGCACCCTCATCCTGCGGGTGGGTGCAGGGCTGATTATTGGACAAGTGGGGCTGTGAGGGTTGCATGGAGAAGCTTTGGATACAGTCTCAGGTGGGGCCCTACCAGTTTGGCCACAACGTTTCCCTCTGTGCCTCTCAAAAACATGAGGTCCAACCCTCAGTAGTGGGCTAACCCTCCATGCCAAAGCTTCTCAGACTATCTGTGATGAAGAACTAGCTATCTTTTCCCCAAACCATCCTGGACCAATATGTTTATAAAAGATAATATAAATGAATTACTAGAAAACAAAAAACAATTTTAAGACAGAAAATTCAAGCCCAAATTTTATTATAAGATTCAGCAAACATAGCATAAGTATGTTAAATTGCTGGCACAGTTTCTCACTCTTTCACACACTTTCTTGCAGACTGACAGCGCTCTCCAGACCTCACTTTGAAAAGCACTTATTAGTTAAGTGACCATGGGGACGGTACCTAACTTTTGAGCCTCAGCTTCTTTATCTGTAAAATGGAACCAGTAGTACTTACCCTGGCATTGTCAGAATTAAGGCAGATCATTTAAGTGTCTGTCATTGCCTGGTGGATGCTGGATGTCTGTTAAATAGCAGTTCATTAACCACCTTCCAGTGCCTCGGGAAATTTATAGGAATTAGATTTCTTCTCTTCTTTCCTGCCTTCAGCAAGTCTGTGTATCACAGCCAACTGGAGATCTGGTTTCTTTCAGTTGGACCATGGTGTTTAGAATCCTTAAGTCATGTTGGGAATGTTCATTGCTACTGGCTTGTCTTTGCTTCTGTGCCTTTTCAGTAAACAGTTAGGAAGTAAACATTTTTTAGAAAGAAAAGAGGAAAATGTATCATGAGTTCATGCTAGTATTTCTAATTTAAATGTAAACTACTTTGATTTGATACTTCTTTTTTATGCTAAGAATCTTGGTTCCTAATGACATAAATTACCCATTTTCTTTAAACTAGATCTAGGAATAAGGGTTCAGAATGCTAATCCCAGTGTTAATGGTGCTGAGACGACCTCATGCAGCTGTGGGACTGCAGTTCCATCTGAGCTCAGGACACAGCTCCCTGGGGACGTCCCATCAAAATACTGTTTCAGTTCTGTGAAATAATCGTCTTTGCTTCACATGTTGTCGGATTAATTTGTTTCCATTTTCTGTTTTTATAACTTTATAAATTCATTTCTTCAGAATTGAGCTGTAATCGACATATAACCGTATGTTAATTTCAGGTGTACAACACAATGATTCAGTATTTGTATAGATGGTGAAATAATCACCACAGTAAGTCTAGTTACATGTATTATAAACTTAATTTCAAAAATTTCGTAAAACATATACAGGATCCCAACGTCAAAATTGTACGACCGGGTACATTCACAGAGGTCTCACCTCTGTTCCTGTTTCATCCACTTCAGTCTCTGCTTTGCTCTGTAAATAACCATTATTAGTTTTTTATTTAACCCTTCATTTTTTTTAATATAAAAAATCATCTGTTTCTCCTCCTTTATTACACAAAAGCTTCACATATAATCCCGTTCTGCACTCTGCTTTTTTCACTTAACCATTCTATCCTGATAGCTCCATAGCATTACGTTAGTGATCATGGTTTATTCAACGAGCCTATATCGATGGATGCTTGAGTTGTTTACAGGATTTTTCTTATAAATTGTGCTACATTCAACATCATTACTCCTCAGAGCAATGCAAATCAAAACCACAGTGACGTACCACTTCACATCCACTAGGGTGGCTAAAATAAAAGACAGTGTTACCAAGGATGTAACGAAATTGGAACCCTCATACATTGCTGGTGGAATGTAAGATGGTGCAGCCACTTTGAAAAACAGTCAAGCAGTTCCTCAAAGTGTTAAATATAGAGTTACCATATGACTAAACAATTCCACTCCTCGGTATATAGCCAGAGAATTGAATACATATATCCATTCAAAAATAGGTACATGAAAGATTGTAACAGCATTATCATAATAGCCAAAAGTTTGAAACAGTTCGAATGTGTGTCAGTGGATGAATGGAAACTGAAATACATATGCAGACATTAGAATATTATTATTCAGCGTGCTGATACATGCTTCAACGTAGATGAACCTTGGAAGCATTACGGTAAGTGAAAGAAGCCAGTCACATACTGAATGAGTCCTTGTGTGTGAAACACCCAGAATAGGCAAAGCCATAGATACAGAAAGTGGGTTAGTAGTTGCTAAGGGTTGGAGAGAGGAAGAAATAAGAGTGACTGCTGATGGGAATGGAGTTTAAAAACTCTCTTTTAAAACTCTCTTGACAAGGCAAGGTCTTGCCCTGTCAGCCCAGTTTAAAAACTCTCTTGGGGGTAATGAAAATGTTCTAAGATAGTGGTGATAGTGAGACAGCTTTGGGAATATGCTAAAATCCGCTGAATTGTATATAAATGGGTGAGTTTTATGGTATGTGAATTATACCTCAATAGAAGTCTTATAAAAGTGTAAGCTGTGCTGAAGTAAATAACCTTGTACAAACATAATTCCATGTGACACTGTATTTTTGATCCTAGAAATGGGATTACTGGGCCAAAGAGTAAATAACACATGTGATTTTGCTAGGTATTGTCCAGTTCCCTACCATAGGGATCGTGCCACTTCGCATTCACTCCAGCAGTGTGTGAGGGTGCCGTTTCCCGTCACCTTACCAGCAGCATGTGTTGTCACACGTGATGATTTGCCCTTCTGGCAGCTGAGAAATGGTATCATAATTTGCCTGCATCTTATTAGGAGCACAGTTGAGCAGATTCTGATATCTCTGCAGTCCATCCGCATTTCTTTTTTGCTGTGCCATTTATGTTCACGTGTTTTATCCATTTTTCTGTTGGATTGTTGGTCTTTTTTTCAGTTTCTACAAGCTCTGTATATATTAAAATATTAACCCTTTGTGACATCTTTCAGATAATTTTTACAGCTTTCAATTTGCCTTTTTAAAAAACGTAGTCAAATTTTAAAACCTTTCTCTATCGCTTCTGGATTTTGAGTTATAGTTAGAAATGTTTTCCCTGCTTCTGGCTTAGAAAAAGAATTCACTTACTAATAAACTGAGACTCACTTGTAGTTTATCCTGGTGAATAATATTAGGAAGAGATCCACTTTTATACGTTTTAAAGAAATTTTATTGAAGTATAGTTGGTTTGCAGTGTTGTTTAATTATACTTTTTTTTTCTTTATTTTTGATCTAACTTTTTCAGCCATATGCATACACATATTCCCTCCCTCTTGGACCTCCCTCCCACCCCACCCCCATCCTACCCCTCTAGGTTGTCACGGAGCACGGAGCTGAGCTCCCTGTGCTGTACTGCAGGTTCCCACCAGCTATCTGTTTTACACATGGTAGTGTATTTATGTCAAAGCTAATCTCCCAATTCATCCCAATTATACCTTTTTATATGGCTGTCCAGTTGCCCAACATTTTTGGGGAAAGGTGAAAAGAAAAAGTATCACTTTTTGTTTATGTCTGTTTTTAAATATTTCTGGATTGATATAGGTGTTTCAGGTAATTGCACAAACAGTATAATTATAGCAGGGAGTAAGGAAATAAAAAAGGAGCAACAGATCACCTATAATCTCCAGCCCTTCCCAGGCTGTTTCAGCGTGTCAATTTGTCTTCTCTGTTCTTCGTAGGTGAACGAGCTGGATGGCATTGCCCTGATCCTGGACAGCTGTAGCATCGATGACAAAAACCCCTGTATCCTTGATGTGACTCACAAGCGTTAGTTCACCCTTGGGGGCCTCAGCAGAACAAGGCCCTTGCCTGGTATTCATTCAGGAGGCAGCTGGCTGGCTTTCTTGATGGCTCGTTCCTAAGAACTAAGCCACTTTCTCAAGGTTCGGGGCTGGAGTGTCACTCCTGCGGTCTGTGCAGCGTAGTGGGCTCAAGTTTTCGAGGTGACTAGGACATTCTAAGCCAGCCTTCTACTACAGAGTGCCTTAAGCCTCTGAGGCAGAAGCTCATCCATGGCCCCTGTGTTCGCTGCATGTCCCTGATGTCACCTTTCCAAACACTATGTGTCCCTGGAGTAAATGTGAAGAAACTTACATTTTTTTCTGTGGAGATTCGAGGTTTCCAGTCCTCTGGAAGAACCATTTTAACACTAGTTTGGAGGCCTCTGAGACCTCAGGAATGGGGAGAAACGTTTCAGGGGCTCCGGATTCTGGTTTTGGTTGGGTACGGTCTTGCAACCCTCTGTTAGTGATGCTGGGGGCTCTGGCTCTTGCCCTTACCTGGTTTGACCACCCTTCTGGAAGGTGTTCTGCAGGGAACTTGCTTCTTCCCCCCCCCACTCCACCAGCCAAGGTCTTGCCCTGTCAGAAACTGATCTAGTACAGTGATGAGCCAGGGACTGGGTACAGCCTGCTAAGTTTGAGAGATAATCTGATTAACTTCAAGACCTTCCCTGGTGAGAATCCAACTCAGCCCAGTCCCTTGCCCTGGCTACTGTGTGGCCTTGTGCCTGTTGCAGGTGGGGGGCAGGGGTGAATAAGGCCATTGCAAGGACTTTGAGACTGTAACCCTGTGGGAGACCGAGGAGGAGGGGAATTCTATTTTTAAAATGCTCACTGTGGTTTCTGTCAAGAAGAGAAAAGGAGCTGATGAAAATCATGTGTTTCAAAGTAAGTAGATTGAGAAATGCTTATTATTTGTGCTAAAGATATTGTCATTTGTCTGATTAGCAATAGAAGAAAATCTCCTGTTTTAAAGAGCATGATAGCTTATAAGCTCAGTCAGGGAAGGACAAATAAACAGCCTCAGAAGACTTTTTTGTTCAAGGTAAAACAGAGTCGGTCCACTGCATTGCATTATGATCAGGCACCACAGGCTGTGCTCATTAGAGAGTTTTGAAATATTTTAGCCCCAAAAAAGGAAAGGAAAAAGAAGAAAGCTTTCTGTCACAGGAAAGCAGTAAAAGAACATTCAGGTGTAACTGCAGGTGTTGCATTTCCTGATGAAAAAGATGACTTATTGCGAACAAAGAAATTCACCCAGTTTCACTTTTATATTCCCTGAATTGACCTTCTAGTGAGAAAAGGTTTTTATTGCTAATCTTTGGCCTTTAGCAAAGACCAAAAAATTAAAAGGCTGTTGCACACAGCACATCATAGTTCTGCAGATACGCTGCATGTGGCTCATGCTTACAGAGTCTTTTATGTTGGCATCCTCCTTGCCGGATATTCATTCATTCATTCATTCACTTCTTTCAGGCAACATTTATTGAGTCCTTACTGTGGATTTACATACATTACAACACTGTGAAGCAGATACTGTTATCCTTATCTGCCCTATTTGTAAGTGAGAAGATAAACTGAGAGAGCCTTAGTGACTTGTCCTGAAGGTCAGACCCAGAATTTAAACTTGGTGTGTACCTGATTCTTAGCTGCTTTCCTAAACTGCCTCCTTGTAAGTCACTGGGAGGGAACAGAACACGTACAGAGAAAGCACAGTAACATATTCACGTAGTGGAGAAATTACTCAGAATTATAAATTGAAAAAATATAGATGGACAATCTACATAGATAAATGTTTTTTTAAATGATAATTAATGAAGCATTGCATGCTTCCAGAATCTCCTTTAAATTGTCAAGAAGAAGCAAAATGTTACATGTTTCGTGTTATGTACATCTAGTAACTCCTTGGACTTTTGTTTATAAACCTACTAGATTTTCAAGACGTACAAAATACACTTAACAAGATATGAGACACATACCAAAATATGAGAGCAAAGGGAGAATGATGGTTGAATGGTCAGAAATGAAGAAGTATTATAGCCTCGGGATTCAATTTTTAGATGTGAGCCATAAATTAAAACCTGGCCTCCCTAGCAGCCAGAGCAAATAGGGCCATAATACAGATCACAGAGTAAATCCGCCCCATGTTCCTCCTCCACACTGTTTCTCAGCTCCTGCTCTCAGGCAGGTTTTCCCAACAATTATTTAATTTCCCTGACCTTGCCTCCTTACCTCTCACTCACTCCCCCACCCCCATTCATATGGTTTTTTTCTTTCCTATATTTTTTATTCATCAAAATAATAAATCTGTATTTTTTTTTTAATGCCAGAAGGTGTAGAATGGGGGAGTGAGTTCTCTGGCTCCACCCTCCACACTTTGCAATTCACTCTGTCAGGTCTTTCTTCTAGTAGTTGCTTTTCTGTAACTAAGTAATATGCTTCGCTGCTGTTTCTTGATATATCACATCTTGATGTTACCTGTTTACTTTGTTATGACACTAGGATTTGGCTGTTGTATACCACCTCCTCTCCTCCCTCCCTCATGCTCCCGCTATAGTTAAGATCCCATTTGCTCTGTTGCCTGCATGACTGGTGAGGCTGAGCATCTTCTAAAATGTTTATTTACCATTTGGATTGCGTGTGTGTGTGTGTGTGTGTGTGTGAAATGTGCTTGATCAAAACCTTTTTTTCATTGGGTTATCTTTTTATAATTTGTTTGTAATAGATCTTTATATATTCTAGATAGAAGTTCTTTGTCAGCTACATGTGTTGCTAATATTTCCTTTCCCTTGTTCTATGACTATCTTGTCATTCCCTCTATAGCTTTTTTTTTTTTTAATTAACAGAAGTTCTTAACTTTTTGTCAAATTTATCACTTTTTCTTTATGGTTAGTTTTTTAGGTATGTATCTTGTTAAAGAAATATTTTCATACCCTCAGGTCATGATGATAATCTATATTATTTTCTGAATACTTCATATTTTTATCTTTCATATTTATTTATTTTTAAAAATTTTATTGGAGTATAGTTGCTTTACAATGTTGTGTTAGTTTCTGCTGTACAGCAAAGTGAATCAGCGTATACATATATCCCCTCTTTTTTGGATTTCTTTCCCATTTAGGTCACCACAGAGCATTGATACCTTTTATATTTAGGTCTATAATTCACTTGGAGTTGATTTTTTTTGTATGGTGTGAGTTAGGGGTCTATTTCTATGTTTTCCCATATGGACACGCATTATCCCATCCCAGTTATTGAAAGAACACACGTTGTCTACTGTAGTGCCAGTTGTATCATAAGTCAGGTGTCCATATATGTGTGGGTCTGGACTCTCTTTTCTTTTCCATTGATCTCTGTGTTCTATCCCTGTACCAGTACTATGGTGTTAAGTACTGTCACTTTCTAAAGTATCTTGATATGTTGAGTGAGTCCTTCCAACTTGTTTCTTCTTTTTTAAGAGTATTATGGCTATTTTTGGTCATTTGTATTTGCCCATAAAAAATTTTAAACCAGCTAGTCACATTCTATGCATTCACACTTGTGTGTTTTTGTGCACACATGTGCTTACACACATGTACACACATGAAATCACCACCAACAAAAACAGTGTAAAATCCCCACGTGTTGAATTACTCATCGAGATTGCTTTGGCTAAAATCAATGTAATGAGAATTGACATCTGAGTCTTCTAACCCATGAACATGGTACATCTGTCCATTTATTTAGGATTATTACTTTTCAGCTTTTATTCCTCTCTGTATTTTTATAGCTTCTTTGCGTGGATTTTAGTATGTATTATTTTGGTTATCATGCATTTCAAGTGTTTTCTAATTTCTATTATGGTTTTTTTTTGACCCATGGATTATTTAGAAATGCATTTCTTAAATTCTGAACAAATAAGAATTATCTTTTGGAGATTGATTTCTAACATAAATTCATTATGATCAAAGAGCACATATTGATGTTCTTTGTCCTATGAAATTTATTAAGACTTGCTTGATGACCCAGTGTATGGTCAGTTTCTGCAACTGTTGTGTGTGTGCTTGAAAATCACATCTATTCCCTAGTAGTGGAGTACAGTTTTTTTAGGTCAAGTTTGTAAAATTTTTACATTTTTAGTGATATTTTTGTCTACTTTGGTTTATCGGTTGTGGAGAGAAATGTTTTAAAATACCAGCCTACGATTATAGATTTCTCTAAATTTCTCCTTTTAGTTATATAACATTTTTCTTTATATATTTTGAGACAACATTATTAGACTAAGGTGTATAATAGGTCTTGAAAAATATCCCTATTGTCACTGTAAAGTGACCCTCTGTATCTCTAAAAATGCTTTTTGCCTGTTACTAATACAGCTACTTTATCTCACTTTTGGTTGGTATTTACATGGTATAACCTTTACAGTCCTTTTATTTTCAGTCTTTCTGTGTCAGAGGTGTTTGTTGTAAACAGCATAGTTGATTTTTTCTTAATCTAGTTTCTTTGCCTTTTAGCTATTGCATTTAGCCCATTTATATTTACTGTAATTACTGATGTGTTTGTTTTTAAGCTACTCTGGTTTGCTTTCTATTTTATTTTATTTTTCTCTCTTTCTTTTGGATTGATTGTTTTATATAGTTCAATGTTTATCTTTTTTCTGGTTTAAAAGTTTTTAATTCTTCTTTTCTATTCTGTTAATAGTGCCCTGGGAAATTACAACATGCTTCCTAGACTGAGGAAAATCTAATGTTTTTCAGACCTTTGCCCCCTTCCCAGATAATACAGGACCACTCAGCACCCCCCAATTTATATGCTGTTGTTGTTATATATTTTTATTCTATTTTTACAACTCTGTAAGATGTTATTATCGTAGTTCTATAACGTCAGTGTTCATTTAGATCTATCCACATTTGTACTGCTTTCCTGCCTTTCACCCCTTCTTATAGCTTTGTCTGTCCGCCTGGGATCATTTTCCTTCGGCCTGAAGTCCTTTCAGAATTTCCTTTAAAGTGGTTTCTTGGGTGAGGAACCATATGAGTTTGTTTGAAAATGTATGCCTGATTCCAGCATTTTGTTGTGATAGCTACAGGATCTCATTGTTTTAATATGTACACTTTGACTTAATTCTAGTATTTCCAGCATGGTATCTACACCCTCTGCATCTGGTATCCTCCATGCCAGAGTGTCTCTACTTTACCCTTTTTGTTGGATGGATTTGGGACATAATCTAGAAGGAGAATCAACAAGACTTGGTGACACTTCAGAGGCGGGAGAATAAAAAAGAAACAGCATCACAGGTGACTCCCAGGTTTCTGACCTGAGCAACTAGATGGATGGAGATATTCCCACATTTATTGAGAAAGGGAATAATTTCAAAGGAGAATATAGACAGATGAATGTGTTCATAAGCTTCATCATTTGCCTGTTGTCACCAGTCACCTCTGACTTGTCAGAGTCAATGGATGCTTTGCTCTCATCATATTAACACTCAGTTCAACAGATCTCATCACTTCCTCCTTAACATAACACTTTTTTCTTTCATGATGGTGCCTCCTCTTGTTTTTTTTTCACGTCTTCCTGGCTCCTCCTCCTTATTCTCTGTTGTTTCTCCCTCTTCTACACGACTTTTAAACGTTGGAGTTCTCCTGGACATTCCAGAGCTCAGGCTCTCTCTTCTCACTCTACATTTTCTCCCTAAAGAATCTCACCCATTTATTCCTTTATTCGTTTATTCATTCAATGTTTATTGAACACCTTTTATGTCCCAGACACTATGCTGGGCCCGTGGAATGACAGGGAATCCTGTAGGGAGGCTGTTGGCATCATGCAGGCAGGAGATGACAGTGGCCTGGGCCAGGCTGGTAGCCGTGGAGATGGGAGATGAAGTTGTATTCTGGGTATTCTGAAGGCTTTAAACATCATCTGTTCACCTGTGTCTACCAGGTGTAACCTCTAGGCAGACCTCTCTTCTGAGTCTCAGGCGTATGTCTCTGACACCCTGCTTAACATCTTGCTTGCATATCTTACTGACACCCCAAACCTAGGATGTCCAAAGTTAAGCTATTAATATCTGCAAAATTCTCCCCTGTCTTTTTCAATAAATGTGGGAATATCTCCATCCATCTAGGCGCTCAGGTCAGAAACCTGGGAGTCACTCATGATGCTGTTTTTTACTCTCCTGCCACTAAAGTGTCACCAAGTCTTGTTGATTCTCCCTCCAGAATACGTCCCAAATCCACCCATTTCCCTTCATCTCCACTGCTACCATCCAGTCCATACTCTCCTCACCCCTGGCCTGGATGTCAGCAGTAGCTTCCTAAGTCACCTTTCAGTTTCTGGTTTTGTTGTGTTGCGGTGATATTTATTCCCCATCCATTCAGTGCAGTCTTTTACAACCAAAATAGGGTCATTCCTCTCTGCCTCTTGACTCTCCCTGCCCCACACCATCCCTCATAAACATGCCCATTTACGAAACCTCCAAGCCTGTCCATTGTCCTGAGAATAAATCCACAGGCTCCAGCACGTCCTGAGAGGTCCTGTGTGGTCTTGCCTACCTGCCTTTTCATTTACCTCCAGACCGCTCTTCCTTTTTTATTTTTTCTTTTGCCCTACCCAGGTACGTGGGGACTTTCTTGCCTTTTGGGAAGTCTGAAGTCTTCTGCCAGCGCTCAGTAGGTGTTCTGTGGGAGTTGTTCCACGTGTAGATGTATTTCTGGTGTCTCTGTGGGGAGGAAGGTGATCTCCGTGTCTCACTCTTCCGCATCTTGAAGCTCCTCCCGGTCTCCCTTTCTTAGCATTCCCCAGAGACTCTTCGTTTTTTGTGTCTCAGATCTATCTAATTTCTCACCTCAAGGCAGTCGTTATGCTCATCTCTCAGCCTGGACTCTCTCCCCTGGCTCAGTCCTCCTCGTCTCCATGTCCACCTTCCTCGTCTCTTCCTCAGGGAAGCCTTGCCGGTTGACCCCTCCTAGAACCTGCTCTGTTCCTTCAGCTTATCACAGTCTGTAATTGGATGAATATTTGTGCATTTATGTCTTAATTACCCTCGAGACCAAGGCCCATGCGGCAGGGGCCGTTTTTTCTGTTGTAAACCGAAGTATACTATGTTGCTGTCAGGTACGTAGTAAATGTCCAATAACTATCTCTTAGAGGGGCGGGCGACAGAGTAAACGCTGCACAAATGCGTGAAAAAGCAGCGGCTTGAGGAAGGGGTGTGCGTGTGTGTGTTTGGTGGGTGAGGGGTGGTTCAAAGCACAGGAGACATTTCTCCCACGGGTTTGATGATTCTCTTGTGAATTGAATAAGCGTGGTTTGGCAGTGATACTATTTCAGCTTGGTTTGGTTTAACCCCTTCTAATAACTCACACCAGTCAAGCTTTCATTGAACTTTAATTTCAGTATTTTGTGTTAAAAAGCAACAGATATTTCGGATATGCCTAGACTAGGAATCAGTGCAGAGATAGTAAACGTCAGTTAATGAAAATACCTCCGTTCTCTGATCACCCCGCATGGACTGGCTGCGTCCGTGTACTCACGCGTCCTCCACGGGGTGGGTGGGGGTGAGGGCTCGTGTTACCTTAGGGTAGTAGTCCTTGTTCCCCGTGGGCAGTCTGTGGTTTGGACCCTATGAAAGACTTCCTCTTTACTTGGGGATTAGGAATTTCAAGGTGGCTGAAAGCTCTCCCAGGCTGAGAACAGGGCTAGGAGGCTTACTGTCCCATCTCTTGGAGGTGGCTTCTAGAGACCGACTGGGGTTTCTAGTTCCAGGGAAAAGACAACATCTCAAAGGGGTGCTTAACCCCAAAGGGCAGCGCTCCGCGACGGCTGCTGCGTCAGGGACACAAGACCAGCTGTTCACTCGCCGGCTCCCTTGCGGAGACCCGCAGTAATGACACGGTAGCAGATGCCATCGGAAAATTCCAGCTCCGCTACCACAGGGTCCATTTCTTATTTGTCATTTATTGTGGCAAGTGGGATTTTTTATTGTTGTTGTTTCCAAATAGAAACAGCTGAGCTTTATTTGAAATGTTTTCCCTTGATTCTCTTTTGATCTATGTTTTGATCAGTTGTCCTTGATGTGGTTTTTTTTTTATATTGTTTTTATTGGAGGGGAGGGGACAGGGATAGGATGAGAGTCTAAACAGGGTTGGGGTTTTTTTCTGTTCTTTCTTTTTCTTCCTTCCTTTCTGTTTCCTTCTTTCTTTTTTTATTGAAAGCCCTCATTTGTAAGTTTTACTTGTGTACAGAAATGTAACCGTTTATAGGAATAATAACCAAACAGCATTTCCCCAGTGATCTCGTGTTCGGGAAGTATGGCATAGTGGCAAGACCATCAGTTCTGGGGCTAGACAGATGCAGATTCTGCCCCTTCTTAACCTCTAAACACTTCACTTAAACCTCTGTTGTGAGTTTTAGCTTATTTATCTAAAATGGGACCTATCCCCGCAGGGTTATGGTGAATGTGAAATGTCATCATGTTCGCAAAGTGCTCAGCCTATAGTTTCTCAACAAGTAGATGTTCTTGTACAAATATCCTGTTACAGCTGTTAATGCCTAGGAGAAAGGTATATTTTCATCTGTGATTGCACTGAGTCAGTGGTAGAACTGAAATAATAATGATAATAATATCGCAGGACAGAAGAGAGAGTCCTCAAACAGAGTAACACATGCACAACAAAGGCGCCCCTGTAGCTGAGCAGAAAAGGATGGTCTTTTGGGGGTTTTTTGGGGTTTTTTTTTTTTGGTATTTTTCCATAAATGGTGCTAGACCGATTTAATATCCGTAGGGGGGAAAAAGCCTACCACCCCTACCTCTTCCCATTCATGAACATTAATTCAAGATGAATCATAGACCTTAATGTGAAAGGGAAAACACAAGAGCTTCTAGAAGGAATCATAAGAGAATACGGTTATTGTCTTAGAAGAGGCAAAGATTTCATAAACAAGGCATCAAAATTATAACCGAAAAGTGCTAACTATAAGAGAAAGACTTTGAAAAGGTTTTTGCATTGTATATATCTGACAAAGGACTCATACCCATGATAAATAAAGGACTCCTGCAAAACAACAAAGAAAAGGTAATTCAGTTTTTAAGAATGGACAAAAGACCCATGGCATTTCACAAAAGAGGAAATCCAGATAGATGGCCAGTAAATGTATGAAAAGAGCTCAACATCATCATTCATCAGGGAAGTGCAAATTGAACCCACAGTAAGGAGCCCACCAGAATGGCTCATAAGAGGACTGACAGCACCCAGTGACGGAAAGGATGTGCAGCAGCCTGAACCTTAGTAAACTGATGGTGGAGACGGCAACTGGAAAAATGCCCTTGGAAAACTGTCAGTGTCTGCTAACACTAGGCGTCCACCAGCCCTGTGAGCCAGCAGTTGCGCCCCTAGCTGTACCCCCAGGAGAAATGCATACACATGTCTATCAGAAGACGTGTGCAGGAGCCTTCCTAGTCACATTATCTATAATAGCCCCGAAGTGGAAACATCCGAAGTAGTCAGCAGTAGAACAGAAGTTGTGGAATGTTCATTCCGTGGAACAATACACAGCGGTAAAGAATGAACTGCTCTGTGTAACAAATGGATTAACCTCACTAACATAGTTTTCAGCTAAAGAAGCCAGATTCAAAAAGAGTATACACTGTATGATTCCATTTACACGAAGTTTAAGAACGGGCAGAATTAATCTGTGGCGACAGCAGTCAGAATGGTGGTTACCTTGAGGGGTAGGAGGGCAGCTGTTGATAGGGAAGGGGTACTTGGAGGCCCTCCGGGGTGCTGGGCACATTCTGCATCTTGATCTGGGTGGAGTCATGTGATGTGTCTGTGTGAGAAAACCCATCAGGATATACACTTAGGACGTGTGCGTTCTGTTGCTCCTCACATTAAAATTTTTTAAATCATTGAGTTATTTCTAGGTGCCAAACCCTATGCTATACCCTTTACATACATTATCTCGCACAATTTTTTTTTTTAACAAAAGCCTCTTTGTTGGGAACTATTATTTTACAGATGAGAGAAGTAAAGCTCAGAGAGTTGGTTCCCTGACTGCAGCTGGTCCGGGCTCTCCCAGCTCGTGAGTGGCAGGACCAAGGTGCGAGCCCAGGATTGTCTAGTCCAAGTGTCTAGACTTCCTTGCGGGTGCTTCCTTCACTCCCTCACAGTGTTTCTTCCAGTCTCCCTTTCCTGGGGGACACGTGGGCATTCAGATGGGTTGGATGCAGTCTTGAGTTAATTAGTCCTGTTGCGTCTAGCACGTGGTACCCACTCCTCTGCTTTGGCCTCAGGTAATAATCGAGGTAGATACCTAAGCCCTGAGGTGGTAGCCGCCTTGGAAAACAGGTACCTCTGCCACGGCCAACTCCTTCCTCTTCTAAAACTTGAGCATGTGTGTCTTCCTCCTGGAATTTTCCCACAGTCCCCCTGAACTGAGCCTGAGTCCCTCGTCTTGATCTTCTGCAGATCCGTTGTGTTACCCCTGCCACTCTGTGAACATGGCACATGGAAACACCTGGATACGTAACTCTTTCCCTCTAAAAAAGTCTATCCTAGGCGGGATCTGTATCATGCTGCACACCCCACACTGGACCCTGTGTGTTACCACAGTGTGTCCCAAAGCATATTTTTTTCTGCAGTATCTTAAATGCTATTATATGAGGGAAGGCTCCTAAATAATACATATATGTAGGACCTGTGTTAAGCAGGTGTCTCTCTTGCAGGGCACCACGGAATGAATCTTTACTGTTCTCATGTGCATTTTGGAAACTCTGGACTACAGTGCCACATCTTGGGGAATGCAGGAATTATAGTATAAACATGGAGACACGTTCCGTTCTATACTTTTTCTTCATGGGGAGTCTAGCTTGTGACTGCGCCTGCCAAGCAGCCACCAGAGGGAGGCGTTCAGGGAAATGCCTTAAACATTTCAGAATGGCACAGCTGGCTAAACTTGATGTTGTTTATAAAAGGCATCAGTGAGTTGCCACACCGGAGCAGTACTTATGCGGTATGCACAGAATGATACGTTTCTGCTTTTAATATCTTACTGTGCCCATCCTAATGTTCAAAGCAGAAATCTTTCTGCTGAAATCAGTCTTTCCTCCTCCGGAGGGGAAGGACTGTCTTCTATTGACTTCTGTGTCCCCAGCATTAAACAGCTGGTGAACCTTCAGTGATCATTTGTTCAGTTGTTGAGCTGCCATTAATCAAAACTAGAAAACCTCTTAATGCTGTTTGGCTTTCAAAAGGTAAACTTTGGGTTTGGCTTCCCAGTGATTTAATTTGGTTTTTTAAAGCCTCTCATTGATTCTCTTACCCCTCACCTAGTGTGATTGAAGATGTGCAAACCATATCTTTCTCCCTGTCCAAAGCAAACAAGTGCGCACACGACTTCGCAGGTTAGCGGAGGCCTCCCTGGGACCCTGTGTGAAACAAGTCAGTGAGGGGCTATGGGTGGGCGATGCTCAGGTGCCACTCCCAGGCTGAGGAGAGCGTAACACGCTGCCACCCTGCACCCCACACACGCTCACACAGATGCAGGCCAAGGCGTCGTCTAAATAGACCCGTTCAGGGGCTTCCCTGGTGGCGCAGTGGTTAAGAATCCGCCTGCCAATGCAGGGGACACAGGTTCGAGCCCTGGTCCGGGAAGATCCCACATGCCACGGAGCAACTAAGCCCGTGCACTACAACTACTGAGCCTGAGCTCTAGAGCCCGCGTGCCACAACTACTAAAGCCTGAGCGCCTGGACCCCATGCTCTGCAACAAGAGAAGCCACCACAATGAGAAGCCCGCGCACCACAACAAAGAGTGGCCCCCAATCGCCACAACTAGAGAAAGCCAGCGCACAGCAACGAAGACCCAACACAGCCAAAAATTTTTTTAAAAAGAGTCAAAGAGGGCTTCCCTGGTGGCGCAGTGGTTGAGAGTCCGCCTGCCGATGCAGGGGACACAGGTTCGTGCCCCGGTCCAGGAAGATCCCACATGGGGTGGAGTGGCTGGGCCCGTGAGCCATGGCCGCTGAGCCTGTGCGTCCGGAGCCTGTGCTCTGCAGCGGGAGAGGCCCGCGTACCACCAAAAAAAAAAAAAAAAAAAAAAAGAGTCAAAGAGCACAAACCTGATGGATTTGACTATATAAATAAATAAACAAACGTGTTCAGAATGAAAGAGGGAAGAAGACCCGTTTTACGTAGCTTCTACGGTATCCTAGCAACTGGTTCCCCAGGGCTCGAAGCCGAAAGTTGGAGGAGTGGGATGTCATATCTTGCATGAGGCTCTCACAAAAGTGGACTCTGTTTCCTTGTTCAGGTGTTTTGGCAAATAGTCCCAACTCTTTTAAAATGAGACTAAAGTACTTCAGGCTGTACTCCTTCAGATGGTGTCTACTCAGCTCTTAGTTGTGTGCTGCTCGTTTTCTTACATCCCTAAGATCATAGCGGCTAGAAATGAAAACTGTTGTCAGCACACTGAAACGTTCGCATGTGAAGGCTGCCGAGCCGCGCGCGTCTCCTGTGCACACGGAGAGGCCAGAGTGCGTGGTGTGCACGCCTGCCCGCTGACCTCAGGCCTGCGCGCTCGCCTGGGCTCTGGGTCGGTCTTGCCATGCCTGCCTCGCTCAGCTGTCCCCCTGCCTCTCGGACGTCAGAACGCGTCCGGTCCTGCTCTATCTTGTTTACTTGCATGAAAAGCACAGTTGCTTGAGGTTTATTGTCACGTAAGGTAGAAAATGGGAGTCTGTCCTTTTCCAAGGTGAGGTGCCTGGCGTGAACTGTGTCACCGTTGCTCCCACTCAGCCTGGGTGGGGACGGGGCAAGGCGCCCTCACACCAGAAGTAGTGAGACAGGGTCCTCGGAAGCTGCTCCCTTCGACTCCCTGGCTGCCACTTCAGCCACCTGGCTTTGAGGTGACACCGTGTTTTCTTAATTTTACTTCTCAGCCGTTACTATCAGTGTTTTAAGTGCCGCCATATAAAATTAATTTCAAACCAGAAACAAAGCTTTCGCGAACATTTGTTGCCATTAATTTTTGTTCTTAAGGATCCGCTCCTGTGGCTGATTGATTTGACAAATGCTGTCTGATGAGCGAAACTTTAGGGAAAGAACGTCGCTGGGAAACCACGTTAGAAATAACTCGCTTAAATGATTTCGCGTTAATAGTCTTCCATGGCAGTTGTGAGTTTGCTAGCCTAAGTATTTTGAATTTTGAAACTAAAAGAAACTATATGAAACATCTGTTTATTGTTATATTACTTCTGGTTTTCTTTTAAAAACTTTTGACGACTTTATTTTTTAAGAGCAGTTTTAGGCTTACAACAAAGTTGGGAGGACAGTACGGGGACTTCCCATTTTCCCACAGCCCTCACACGTGCAGAGCCTCCCTCATCAGTAACCCCCAGCAGAGGGGCACTTCTGTTTTTTTAACAGAAGTTGAACCTATGTTGGCACATCATTATTACCCAGAGTCCATAGTTTAAGGGTCCACTTTTGATGTTGTACATTCTGTGGGTTTGGACAAATACGTAATGACACGTATCCATCATTGTAGTATCACACAGAGTATTTTCACTGTCCTAAAACTCCTCTGCGCTCCACCTCTGCATTGCCCCTCCCCTGACCCCGGCAACCACTGATCTTCTCCTGTCTCCATACTTCTGCCTTTTCCAGACTGTCACAGAGTTGGAATCATACAGCACGTAGCCTTCAGATTGGCTTCTTTCACTTGGTAAAGTGCACGTAAGCCTCCTCCATGTCTTGTCATGGCTTGCTAGCTCATCTCTTTCTTTAGTGCTGAAGAATATTCCATTGTCTGGGTGTACCAAGTACTTGTTTTTCAAAATTCTTTTCTTTAACACTGTTTGCATCATAATCATTCTGCACACCTCCCCAGTCTCTCTATAGTATAAAGTATAGTTTAAAAGAACTTTTATAAGTCTTGACTCTGTATTTCAGAAGTTGTATATCTGATGTATAGATTAGACCATAAAGTAGTAAGTCTGAAATATCCTAAATAGCCTAAAATTCACCTGCATGACAGTTTCCCTCAGACACTGCCTCTCGTGGCGCTGAACTCAGATTCCAGGGAGCCTGTCTCTGCAAAGAATGTGCCGGACGCCTTTTGAAAGTACATTCAGGACACAGTTTACCAGCACAAGGACATCCAAAGTTTCAGTGCTTGGTAATCATACCTCACCTCTTTCCCCAAATGGCATTACCAGGCTGTCTCACTGGGCCTGTTGCAGTTGAGGTAGACTCCTCCGGCTGTCATACTCAGGGTGGTCCCCGAGGGTGAAGATCTGCCTTCAGAAGAGCCACTGAATTCAGAACAGAAGGATGACTGCCTGCACACAGCGTGCCCAGAGCACTTCCGGCGCATGGTTTGTGCTTTAGGAGTGTTGCCGTTGTTATTTAGATGTGTATATTTTCTGACAAAGTTAATTAATTCCCAGTTTTTCTTTTTACGTTTGCGTTCTTTATTAAAATGAGCAGTGACTTTGCATGTGTTTTTAAATCACTGTACTTACATAGCACTGCCACACAGAATCCATATTTTGCAAGACACTTGAGAGGTCGGGTTGCTGGAGTTTGGCGCAGAGAAACATGTTCTAGGTACCCTGACTAATGTCAGTATTTTTGCCTGAAATGACCTTAGTCAAATGTAGCAGTGACAGAGAAGGGCCTGGTCCAAACATCGGTGTGCCACAGCCATTTCACGCCACCGTTAAATAGTAACTGGCTGGCTGTCCGTTTTGTGATCATCATTCTTAGCAGGAAGTGTTGGATTCTCTGTACCACTTATTCGTCTAGAACCGGAAGATTAAAAAAAAAGCCCTTACTGGACGAGTGAGCCCGTGAAGGGATGAGGTTGGCCCTCATTGGATACAGACAAGGGTGCCGAGGGCCGGGCCCTGGAGCCGCCGGGGCAGGAGGCTGGCAGCCCTGCTCGTGGGCTGCGACGGGGGAGCGCGGCCGGGCTGTCCCAGTGCCAGCCCTGGTGGCAGCTTTCCCACGTTTGTTCGTGGATCTGAGCAGCTCGAAGGGAAGGCGGGGCCTGCTTTCTGCCTGGAGCTGACGGCCTCATGGGGGTGACGGGCAGGGAGGCCTCCGGGTGCTCTGGCCTTTCGTGTCCTCATGGCTCTGGGGATCCACATTACCCCCACAAACTCAGAACCTATAAAAGTAAAGCTAACTTTCAGACATACTCGCCTTTTCCATTCTACCGTCCTCAGGTCTGGACGTCTCCTCTGAGGTAGAGACAAGGTGCCTTTGCCCCTGGGGCCGCCAGAGTGGGGCATGGCCGTGCGGCCTGTGAGCCCTGGCCGGCCCCCTCCCCACGCCGGCAGCTGGCCTCTGAGCTGCCAGGAAAGGCCGTGTGGGCAACGGGCAGACCTCTTCTTCAGGGTTAACTGAGTGCAGCGGAAAGCAGGCCCCGTGCTGTGCAGAAGCCTCGCTGCTGGACAGAAGCCCGGCAAGAGCAAAGCTAAGAGGTGGATCGCAGTTTCCAGCACAGGCCCAGCCCTGTGCTGGCGAGTCTTCACGTGACTGTGATGAGCCAGCGCTTACAAGAGAGTCGTGTCTGCATTCTTTTAGTTAAGGGCCTAATTTTAACATTCTCATGGAAGCTCACAGAATGAAGACAGTGTCAAATGCAGAGAGAGATCTGCACTTTCTGGTTAAGGATAGGAAAATCCTCTCAGAAGTCAAAACATTTTCCCAGTTTTTGAGAGAAACCAAAATATGTCAGAATCAAAGCTACTCTGCTGTCTTTCTGTCCTAAAGCACCTGCAGAAACTAGCACAGCTCTTGTTCACATGTTTCCTCTGGGTGTAATTAGGAAGCACCAGGGAATCCTAATGGGTTTTCAAGAAGAAAATGACAACGAAAGTTTCTGATGCACAATCCATCAGGCACCCGGGCTGCGAGTGGGCTGCACATCCTGGGCAACACTCGTGAATCACTGAGACACTGGAAGCCGCAGAATTCAGAGGCGCTTTGGGGCGTTACGGGGCAGTATTTCTTAGGGCTGTCTAGTTGAGGGAACATGTGAATTGCCATTTGGCAAATCAACCCAAACTTCAAGTTCAGTCATCCTAATTTTTTTTAATTGTACTTATCTTGAAATACACTGTGAGTACCGAAAAGTGGGAAGAGCCTATGTGTGTTGTTTGCAAATAATTGTAAAGCAGACGTGTAACCAACACCCAGGTCAAGGCGAAAAACACTGCCAGACTTCC